ACACACACACACACACACACACACACACACACACACACACACACGTAAGCTGCGCGAGCGCGACGCACAGGCCCCCGCCCCCGACTGACGGCAGAGAAGCACTGGTGAGCAGCGGACGGCGGCATCTCTCCCTACAAAAACATTCAAGGTAAAATCACTAAACACGCCGGTTTTTCAGTGACGGTATGGCAAATATTGAGTGTTTATTTTACTGCATGTCTACAGACTTTTCCCACTAAAATCATATAGCCGGTGTTTATGTGAACTGTTCTGATTTTAATCCTACCGCGGTCGTGTCGAGAAAATACGCTGTTTAAAATTATTTGTTTTAGTGTGGCAGTCTAATGCATGTGGCTTAATGGGTATTTATATCTGCATTTTCAAGAATAATGTGCACAAATGTGATTTATTGTATTGCAACTGTCTGTTGTTTTGCCTATTGGATTGTGTACATTAACGGGGGTTGAGCAAAAACTCGTGTACGCACACGTTGTTGGGCGAAGGTGTGTCCTTCGGGGAACCGAGTCAGCCAATCAGAACGCAGCTTCCGCCTCCAGTGGGAAGGTTGTTTTTTTGCTGGATGTAAACGCCCATTACGACAGTCACAGCTAAAGTATGGATCTGGATTAAACAAATGGCATAGTTTAATTTAGCTGTTCCTAATATTCAAACTAGAATAGCATTTCCTGAAGAAAATGCAAAGTGTTTGCAAGGCAGCAATTTTTAGACAAGCCTTTGTTGTCGGCTTTGGCTTTGTGTAAATGATATGCTCTCAGCAAGCATCTTATTTCCTGTCAACTTTGATCGAGGCGAGAATCACATAAGTGTAAAGGTGGATATGAGCTGGTAAATACGTTCAGAAAGCCACAATACAAATAGATGGTATATTATCAAAATAGATGAAAATACCATACAGACTTCGAATTGGTGGTTTCTAACGAATCGGTTGAGTAAATGATTCATTGAGTCACTAATAAAAGACTCGCCTACCGTGTATCCAATCAATAGTATGGAGCTATAGAACGAATCAGCGAATGAATCTTTTTAGTGAATGGATTCAAAACACTCGAGTCGCATTGATGAATCCGAACTCCGATGCGGGATTTGGATCTCTCAATGATTTCACTCCCTAAATCCGGAGTTACAGTATCTGAGAGGCTCACAGTTAGGGGGTGTGTTGCCCTAAAAAAAAAGTAAAGGCACCGAGCAATATCCGACTGCGCTGCTTATCTATATGCAAAAATCTATCGCGTGTATTCGATAAAGGTATTTTTGATTGTTACATAACATTGTTGTCTTTCTCATGTAATTCTCATATACGAGTAATTTATTTATCCTGAAAGTCTCGTATAAGTGCTTTAGTTTTTAATAGAGGGTGTTGCTTGTAAATTTAATTATTTATTTATTTTCCACGTTTTCATGGCCTCGTGGCGCTGTCGCAGAGCTTGTGAGTTGTTATAAACCAGCTTGGCGTTTAGATTAAAACATGCACTGTAAATGCACGGTGTTTTAACATGCTTTCCCCTGCTTTCTAGCTTTTTGTGCGGAGAGCCAAAGCCGACTGTTTAGCTGAGAGGGCACAGCATGGCAGCGGTGGGATCCAGAGCAGGACTAGACACGATATCGATGTGCACAGAAGGGCAGGACGGATTGGTATGTGTCATAATAAATGATGATATATAGCCCCTGTAACTTATACATAGATAAAGGCAAGTGTGTAATTGATTGTTTCCAATCCTGCAGGTCTACATGCAGTGTTGTGGCCAGGGAGAAGGGGTGGGTGTGCAGAAGAAGCTGAATGCAGGGACAGAGTGGTCAGCCGATGGAAACGCACAGCAAACAAACCTTCTATCCTTCCCACAGTCTTCCGGTGTGGACTTACCTTACAGGTTAACCTACAGATCCATTTCATCTGTCTAGTTTGTTGTCTTCTAAATATAATGTAATACCAGCCCCTTTTCACTTTAGAACAGTGATGGGCAAACTTCGCCCTTCCAGGCCACTTTCCTGCAGAGATTTGATCCAACCCTGATATGGCTCACCTGCCTGTAGCCTTCTAGTAGTCTTGAAGACAATGATTAGCTGGTTCAGGGGTGTTTGATTAGGGTTGGAGCTAACCTCTGAAGGAAAGTGGCCTGGAAGGGCTAAGTTTGCCCACCCCTGGTTTAGAATAACCCTGACTCTGATAGAGCAGAATTACTCTACAGATATTGTGTGATAATGGTGAAGCGTTATTGTGGGCAATCTTACTTCATAGATCTGTAATGCAGTGTAATGTAGTCGTGTGAAGAGTTATTTCACTGCCTTATTTCAGAAGTCCTGAGTCGGTGGAGATGGATGAGATCATGGCTGCAATGGTGCTCACCAGTCTGTCCTGCAGTCCAGTGGTTCAAAGCCCCCCGCAGAGGGACCTCCTACCAGGTGAACTGGTTTGTTTTGCAAACCACACCTTGCCAAACATGGAGCACTTCGCAGTGTATGCTTGACAAACCACTGCAGACAGTTTATTTTAAACAAAGTCTCATCAGATTCTCATCTAGTATATTTTTTTGAATTTGGTGGACATTTTTATGTTATTAATTTTACTTTTTAATTAAGTGCATCTTATATATTTTCCATGATCTAGTATAACACACAACCCAACAATTAATTGAGCAATTCTTTAGCTTTGTCAGTCTTTCCATTTTTGTATGTTTTATTATTTTGCTTTTTAATTATGCACTCAGTTAATTATATATTTTTTAGTATATTAAATGTTTCAGTTTTATTATACAGTATAAAACACAACCCAACAATTATTTTAGGATTTATATGTTTTTGTCACTCTTTATTTTTTTATTAATATCTCTTTTTAATTTTTATATTATAATTTTATTATACAGTGTAACATGCAGCCTAACAATTAATTTAGCAATTTGCTCTTTCATTTTTTTGTCTTATGAATTTCACTTTATACACTTTATATTAAATTATAGAAATATTTGATGATTATATAATATTTTATACATATATTATACAGTCCAACATACAAACCAAAATTACAACCCAACAACCTGCAACCTGTTACACATGTAATTAAAAAAAAAAAAAATTCTTATCAATTTCTCTTTGATTATACACTTATTTAATTATATAAATATTTAATTATTATATTACAATTTGATTAAACAGTCCAACATGCAACCCAACATTACAACCCAACATGTAATTGACCAATTCTGTGGTTTTCTCACTCACTTTTGTAAAAATTAGTTTTATTCATTTAACCTTTTAATCTAACATTTAATTATAAAGTGATTATATGTTTCATTAAACAGTATAACACACACCCCACCAATTAATTCAGCAACTGTATGGTTAAGCGTGTTATTCACACTTCCCCTTTTTTTGGCTGTGACTACAGGGGACATGGAGTGTTGTGGAGGTGAGCTATCTGACAGCGGCAGCAGTGGTTACTGGAGCTGGGACCACGGCAATGTCAGCACAGCCCCTTCTCCATCGGTCACCGAGATGGACAGGAGCCTGGGCCAACTGACAGACGAAGGACTGCACATGGAGCTGGACCAAGCCGCATGTGAGGAGCCGGAGGCCAGGAGGTGCAAGGTGAGAATGAGAAAACTGTCAGACTGCAGAACCTGAGGGTGAATAGACAGAGTTTTAAGCTGATGTTTTAAAAATACATGTGAGTCACTATTTGTTTTTCTTTCTCATTCTCAGAGCTTGAGCAGGGGAGCATACAGGTGTCTGTGGCCTGGCTGCGGGAAAGTGCTGACATCACGGGTTGGAATGAAACGGCACATTCGCATTCTTCACCTGGGGTGAGTATGTCCTCACACACACCAAACTCTTGGAACAACTGAGATGGCACAGGAACATTATGAAGCATCTTTAAGCAATATCAGTGTTTATGATGTTGAAAAACCACGTATAGTTCTGCAAGTTTACATTATTTACTAGGCCTGAAAATAACCTTCAAATAGTGCATTGTATTTGTTTTCTCTTAAACAGTTGGGGCTCAGAGCAGTCACATAGGGAGGAAGACTTCTACTACACAGAGGTCTCCTCAGAAGATGAGGAAACTGCACCTCCATCTCCTGCGCCATCCTTCTCCAGTGGGGCCTGGACCTCCTGCAGCTCCACACAAAGCCAATCCACCCCAGGACCCCAAGATGCTCCAGTCCAGTCAAGCCCACTCAGCCAATCAGCTCCAAGCAGCGTGTGGCAGATCCACACTGAACATCTCTATCAGGTACAGATCAGCTGAGATAATGGCTAAAATTGAGCGGTTTAATCTAAGTCTAATGAACAGATTTCATTTAATGGGTGAACTATCCCTTTATTATTGATTATAGAAAAAATCTAAATCTTGTAAAAAAAAAAAAAAAAAAAAAAACTTTGTTAAAGTGTTTTGTTTTTTCCATCACTGTGTTGTTTTCTGCAGGCCTGCGCACCCATTCAGGTGACGGTCTCTCCAGGCTCTCCCACCTTTTGTAGCTGGACCCCATCTGGTGACGTCCAGCAGAAACCTCAGGTTGGTCTGCCTCTCCAGAAGCAGTTAACGTCATAGGTGGTGCATTTTAAAACACTTTATGCCATCTGTCCTTTTATTACTATGTTGATCTGTAGATTCCAGCATTTCGCAGCCGGTCAGTGAGTGTTGGAGAACAGTGGCTACAGAGGAACAGCGCCCCCACCAGATCACAGACCATGAGTGCATCTCCCTCCAGAGGGCACTGTTCATTCAGGTATTATTAATGATCATGCTCCGTTAAATGCTGCCCTCTGTAGCTAAGTAAAAGATCTCTAAGCAAAGATAATTCTGTTAGAGCAGTTAACTTAGTATGTTTTGAAGTCGTAAATATTAATATGACTGATCATTCTGACTACAGTATGTTACACCACAAAACAACTGTACATTTAAATTTTTTCAATGTGTATTTATCCTTTTTATGTCCTCAGGAAGGGCCGAGGTGAGGCCAAAAAGTGCCGAAAAGTGTACGGCGTGGAGCGGAGGGACCAATGGTGCACTGCCTGCCGCTGGAAGAAAGCCTGTCAGCGGTTCCCAGACTAAACAAAAAAAGACTTTAGGAGACAAGGAAGAATCTCCATTTTCTTTCTTTCCTCCAACTCTTTTCCTGCACTGTAGAGGACCCGTCTTTTCACTTTTCTACCTTTTTTGTTTTCCTTTGAGTTAAAGTGCTTTTGTTATGTTTTCCCCCAGACACGCTGGCACTAGCTGTTGAGACTGTGAGAGTAGTAGGATCCCAACCCTTCGAAGGTGAATTCTGCCCTCTCACGAGACTAAAGTGTAATCCTCTATCTGATCGAGGTGTTTTTCTACCCTAGTCCTGCACTTCATCCATACCTGACATATTTAAGTGATTGTTGTATACTGTGGACATTGTATTGCTTTGAGTATTTTCATGATGTTTTTCTATTGCCGTTTTGTTAGCCTGAAAGGTGTAACAGTGAAATGTTATGTATTGTCTTTTTTCTACGCATTTACCCTGGATTTATTCACAACTTTTGAGTTGCGCAAAGTTTGACTGAGGTCGTATGCCATAGCGCTTCCTAATCAATCTACACTGCCAGATATAAAGCTACAGTGGTGTCGAGGGAAAGATGTGAATGATGCTGGCCACATTGGTGGCCACAGTATGTTGTCTGATGGAGATAAAAGTGCAGCTATAACCTTTTGATTGAATACCAAAGTGCTATTGCAAAGAGTTAAAGGGAGCTTGACTGAATATTGCCCGGAGAATAGATCGGGCTTGTTTCCTTTTGTACGTTTCTTGTCATCCTTCCAAAAAGTGTTAAGGTCTTGTTACAATACTGGAATCATCCCCTTGATAATATCTAAAAGGATTTGAAAGCGTAACATCATACTGAAAAAAAAATTATGTATGATTAAAAGACACAAGATAAAATAAGCAAATTTCAAAAGCTTGTCATTTGTGCATGACAAATAACAAGAACAATGTAAAATTATTTTATTGGCCTTTTGTGTGCATTTCATGTACAAGTGGAGAGGATTAAAAGAAAAAAAAAACTCGCTTTCCAAAAATGCTTGCAGAATGTGTTTGAAATGAAAAATATTCACAAATCCAAGATGTCTACACACAAAATCGTACATGTATATGAAGGATACTGTAAAGTACACTGAAAGCCTATCTGCTAGTTATTTCTTTACATTGTGGGGGTGTCAGTTTTCAAAACTCATAATGTGAGGGAGAGTGTCAGGCACTAAAGATGACCTCAGTCGTATATGTTCATGCATAAACAAATGCAGAAAGCTGGAACACATGCTAAACCGAAATGCCGTTATCACCAGGTTTAACCAAACAATTAAAGGCGCCATTGCACCAAACTGATTTATAAATATAATGACTATGAATTGTTTTCAAATTCAAACTGATTTTCTGAACACTCCTAATGTTTTATTGTTAGGACAAACTGGGTAATCCCGCTCCCAAACTCACGCCACTGGCAGAAAGCCCCCCCCCAACGTTTTCTGATTGGCTAACATGCACGGGCCGAGGTTTTGATTACAAAGCATAAAGTTGTCGTCTATTTTTTTTTTCGTGGTATTGCACAAAAATTCGCAGCATAATTTCGAGTGTACACCCTAGGGGGCAGCATCGATCCATAAAACGTCAAAACAGCCCATAGAGATTATCGTTCTTTCAATATTGTGCTACATATAATCAACTATTGATTTTGATAACTCGTTTGATTGCTCTAGTAAATTTTAAGACAGTTCTATACATCAAGGACGTGTGCAAAACAACCAATCTTAGCACAATACAGTGTGCAAGGTTAAAATATAAAGTGCTTTTCTCTCAAACAGAACAAACCCCATACTTTTACTACAAGCCATTGCTCTCATTTGTAACTGATTCACGTGCTCAATTCAAGTTTCACTGCTTTGCCTTTTATTTTATTTTCACAATGCTTCAAGGTTAATTCTAGGAGTTTTGATTCTGTAATGAACAATCAGTTCTCATCAGCAACATTTGTCCTAACGACTTGATCGAGATGTTTTTGATGTCAGGAACGGCACTGTCAACGGAAATGTCAATGATAAAAACCAACGCTTTACAAAATATTCCTCTTCTTTGATTAAACACAGATTTAGCTAGTTCTGGGCTATGGTGCATGATAGATGTTCACAGTTACTGATGGTTGATGAGCAGTTGAGCTGAGGTAAGTGAAAAGACCAAGGCCTGTGCTCTAAGGCCAGCTAAACTTCATCCTGTCTCCGGATTCTGGTGGAGAGGTTGCTGATGAGACCTGAACGCCCCGAGCGACCCGTCAAGCTCAGGTACTGCCTCAGTAGCTGACTCACACGCTTCTGGTTGTTCCACTTGCGGGCAGATTTCCTTATCCCTATGAAGCCACCGTAGCGTTTCTGCAAAGGCCTTCCGGAGCTCACCAACTTCCGGAAACCGTGACGACCTTTCATAAAGCCTCCAAATCGCTTGGATATGCTTGCGGCTGCTTCACCGCTCTTCTCTTCTCCTACACCATCCTGGTCCTCCTCTGTCCTCGGGTCAAAGTCCGGGTCATATGAAATTTCCAGTTTCTCCTCCTCCTCTGAAGGCTGCTGGCTGCGGAGCGCTTGCGCGGCATGTCGAAACCGCTCCAAAGCCTCAGTATACTCAACACCATTGTCATTTTCTATGCTCACTGTGGCCAGAGGCTCCGCTTCATCATCAGAGCGCTTTGATGTTTTCTCCTCCTGTAATGGTAGTGGAAGCTGGTTCAGACCTGCTGCCCAGTAACACAAATCCCAGGTCAATGCAGGAGATGCCTGTGCTTCACATTCCAGGATACATATCTGCAAAACAGCGGAGATTTTTTTACATGACAAAACATTTTTAGAGTAGAAAATGTCCTTATATAATATTGACAAATATTGGTTAAATTGTACTGAACATGCTCTCTCTATTAAAAAAAATACAGTAAAAACAGTAATACTGAGAAATATTTGATATTTTCAAATAACTGTTTTCTATTTTTATATATTTTAAAATGTAATTTATTCCTGTGGTGGCAAAGCTGATTTTTTTTAGCAGTCATTGCTTCAGTCTTCAGCGTCACATGATCCTTCAGAAGTTATAATATGCTGATTGGTGCTCAAGAAACATTTCTTATTATTATCAATGCTGAAAACAGTAGTGCTGAATTCTTTAATAAAGTTCAAATGACAGAAAAGCATTTATTTGTAAAAAAAAAAAAAAAAAAATCTTTTGTAAAATTATATAAAAATGTCTTTATTCATGTTTTGTATGTTTTATTTATATTTTTTATTTGCTTCCTGTATCATTTTAGATCATTATAAAAATAATAAATGTTTTCCTTTGTTAGAAATGTATCATGTTTTTATTAATGATTGAATTTGCCCTTTCTAATAAAAAAGCTCAGTATAAAAAATTCCTAGTGGCACAATACTGCACGCAAACGGTCTAACCACTGCAATGGGGTGTGAAATAATATGTGGCATTGGTGCAAGAAATGATATGATAATTGAGTGACTAGAATGGGATAAAAATCATCATTTTGTATGTGATCAGCTGTAGACAAATGCAGGTTCTTTCCACAAAATGTTCATGTGATGCCCTTTTTAAGGACGGCTAGCCTTTTTTTAATCTCCCATTTATAGGGAGAAAACCATAAATTGTATAGGGGCTTATAACAGTGGAGTGAAACTAGACGTTGAATGCATGGAAAGTACTAGTCCACAGCGAAATGTAATGTTGATGGCAAATGAAAAACATTCAGATAGAAGATAGTTATGAAATACAGATGTGTTTCGGAACACATGCATGCATACTTTTAAAAATAAAGGTTCTTTATTGGCATAGATGGTTCCATTAAGAACTTTCAATATAAATGGAACCTTTCCATTGCACAAAGTTATTTATAGTGGAAAAAGGTTCTTTAGATTTTTAAAATGTTCTTCACACAAAGAAAGAAAAAAGGCTTACAATAAAATATTCTTTGGGGAACTAAAAATGGTTCTTCTGTGAAACCCCCTTTTTTGGATGTGAGTGTGAATACACTATATTCTAAGTCTTTGTATGAATCTGTTGATGAAATTTTAACGTCTGACACCACTGTGGTGTCACAGAGCAAAAGCATGCCCACAGGGACCCATCTGGTCATGGCAAGAGCGCCTCCACCAAGTGTCAATCACTCCTACCCACAACATCAGCAGCTGACGGCACCACTGCAGCCAATTATGGGCAGACATATATAATATATGAGCACCAAATCAGCATGATTTCAATGATTTCTGGAGTAATGGCTGCTGAAAATATAGCTTTGCCATCACAAGAATAAATAGCATTTTAAAATATAGCCTTTTTAAATTAAAAAATATGTAAATTTTAAAATTATAATAATACTTAATATTACTGTTTTTAACTGTATTTTTTTGATCAAATAAATGCAGCCTTTGTGATCAGAGACATGAAAAATATTGAAAGTGAAAAAAAGTATTTTCATACATTTTCTAATTATTTGAATGAACATTTGCCAATGATCCATGATCTAATTGAGGAATATTCTTAATAAAACATTAAATAATACCAAGCAAATCTATTTTTCCCCACTCTTTCACTTTCTTTTTCTATTAAAAGGTTCTGATATTTATGAACATTCATGGAGCTTTACCATTACACAAAAAGGTTCTTTATAGTGGAAAAGTGTTTTTTTTATATTTTTTAAAATGTTCTACACACTAAGAAAAAAAAAATGGTTCTCCTTCTGCGAAAACAGCATTTTGGAACCTTTTATAAGAGTGTTCCTGAATCTATAAACGTTGAAAACACTTGGTCTAGTACATTTCACAAGGACGTTCACAGGTTTGTATGTGCGCATTTGCCAATTTGACCTGTAGCTATAATCAGCTCTGGAAACACCTTTTTTAACCTATGTCAATCAGCTAAACGAATTCCTGCTAATCCCAGATATTAGGACTGATAATCAGGCATTTTAAAGATAAACCCAGAAATGGGTCCAGTTTTCCCTAAAGCCAAACACATGTGCTTAGAGATAAGATCACCTTACGACAATCACAATGAACACAGAACCCTCAAAGTGAATCAAACATATTTGAAAAATTCACACATGAAAGTATAAGGTAATGATCACCACCACTACTGTCACCACTGAAACGTCAAAATTGGCAAGCCACCATCTGTTTTTTTTCCCACACATACTGAAGTTCATTAAGGAAACTCATCATAGGCCCTAATTAATGTCTGAATTAGTGTGTGTGGCATAATGAGAAGGAAATGAGTGCGGGAGAGAAAGAGCGGGAATGCAGTTTCCATCAAACTCTGACTCACGCACTGCGCCAGCACACATTAAGTCACGACTGCATTAGGAGAGAAACGCACACATGTACACTCATCTCTAAAAGCTTTCTTTGATGAAAGCCAACAAAAATCTTTCGCTGAACTCCAGAGCAGTGATGAAAAGTTGACAATAAAAGCACGTTGAGATGTCTCTGCTCAGTGGGCATATAATTATAGCCCCTAATGTGGACATGGGTATCCAGAGCACTCTGAGAGAAGGACTACCAGACTACCACTACAAAAAAGTTTTCCAACCAATTAAATCTCTTGCATCATTAATACAGTTCAATTTGGAGTGGTTTGATGGAACTTTTTTACGATCATCCCCTGCTACAGTCTCTTATTATACCGGAGATAATGGAAAACATGAAAACAGCTGGAGGGAAAGTGCAAAAGCATCAACCTCAGCAACTGTCATCTGCAATACTAATACTGTGCCTATTATTTAGCAGAGAGATAGAAGTGTCCTGTTTGACCTGTAAGGTACTTGTAGACCCCAATTTCTAGAATGCGTAAGGATATACAGTATGTCTTTAAAATATATATGATACACATAGTTCCAAACTCTAAGACTTTCTATCTTGAGTGTTTTTTTTTTCTGTCCATACAATGAAAGTTAGTGGGGTCCAGTGTTGTTTTGGTAACTTTCTTTTTCTGGACAAAAAATTTGGGACAACATGAGGGTGAGTAAATGATGACAAAATTTTAATGTTAAAGTAGTGTTGAATAACAAGCTACTCTTAGCTATATTACGTACAAAAAAAGATAAATAGGCAATATTTTAAATGCAATTATATATATGTGTGTGTGTATACATATACACACACACATATGATGCTTTAATTGATCATTTTAAATCAAAGTTGTAATTTTTTTTTGTCTAGTTAAGTCAACTAATTTATAGAGCATAAACCGAGGTTGAGCTGAAGTTCTGTTCAGTGTAGAAGCAAATAAAATAAAACATAAATAGATGAATAATATGAGAAATAAATGAAAAGAATAAAGCAATAGATAAAATACTGATCCATAATTAGGGGTTTTGTCCACATCATGAAAGATGGTTGTTTTTGAACCCCATTGACTTTTATAGTTTGGACAAAAAGGTTTGGATTGAAATGAAGGTGAGTAAATGATGACAAAATATTCAGGGGGTGAATTTTTGAGTGAATGCCTGTGAGTCCTAATGCAGTGCTCATAGAGGAGGTGCTCTGTCTGCAGTCTTTGAAGGGAACGCGACTAATCTGATTTGATTTGGTCTGCTCGCCCTCTCCTACAGCCACCTGATCGTATCACCTCCACGGCAAACACCAAATCCCATTCTCATTCTGTTCCCGCACCGTGGCTGAAATCACCACCAGATTCTGGAAAAGTTGCTTTTCTTTCTGTTTTTTGTTTTTCCCATTACCATTTTCGTTGGTCAACTGTGTCATGACATGTCAAGAATGAGCAAATAATAATTACTTTTGTTTGTTTGCTCCACAGTAGATGGAAGGAGGACCATGACCTCTTTTTCATTTCTCATCCACATTAATATCATCCCCTGAATGAGAAGGCGCTTCATCTCGGATTTATTACGCAGTAATTGATAGCTCACCTGTTTGCTATATCTAGCAATTTTTTTGTCCTTCGTAATAGCATTGTATAAAAATAATCTAGGCTCTTCTCATTGTCATAACCATTTCCGTTGAGGAATGGGGGATCCGCATGGTTACTTTAATTGAGAGCACAATGATTGCCAGAGGGCTCAGAGTCTGCAGTCCCGTTGCAGATGATCATGGTTCCCCTCCACACACACTGCCTCTTCACCGGCAGAACAGCAGCAATCATTGCATTATCCTCCCCGTGGCCATGACAATGAGCTGAGAATTTACCATAAAAAGATGGGGGGAGGGAGTAAAAAGTTTCTTTCTTTATTTATTTTTGAAGGATTATCGGCATGATATTTCAATTGCGAGGAGAAAATGCAATAAATGCCACTGTCACCGCCATTTAAATCAAAAGCAGTGGTGAAAGTAAATAGCCAGATGCATATATTCGACCGTTTGACTCACGGAAAGTCACAATTTCTTCACAGTGTTTGCGATTTCCAAATCAAAATGAAACAGGCTTCAGAAAAAGTTGTTTTTGAATAATAATGCTCGCACTGAGCTGTAGAGGTGTATTATGAAATTTCTATGCATGGCATATAATCCACCATATAAGAATGCACTAAGCAGTATTCAGGATGGCTATTGTATGATAGAAATACTATGACACTGTATATAGTCCAAGTTCAGAAGCAGCTGAGATCATGTGGATGGAATAAAATACAATCAATTAAGTGTCACAATTATGCATAATTACAAGCAATAGAAAAAGTGAACACCAGATATGGCAGCTTTGACCTACTGGTTCTATCTGAGTGATTCTTTGATTCTGTGCAATTGTTTTTGTCATTGCAATTAATATTGAACATGTTGCTCAAGCTTAAATGTTGACAGCTTCTGGAAATCCAGAGCATTAATTGATTTAATAGATTTTCTCTTACCCGTGTAAGAGAATACAACTCTAATTGATAGATGTATGTAATTATGCATGCAACACTTCTGCTCTAATGGATTTTATTAATCAATTGAACATGGCTCAGGTAATTCATCTGAGGAAAACTAGTCTCCCTAATGCAGTGCAAAGTTTTAAAATAATTACGCTAAATTAGACAAGCAGCTTTCATGTTTAAATTCATAGAGGATTGTTGCATGAATTTTGCATGATTGTTCCAAATTTTTGAATTTGGAAGATTTATTTAGATGTGGTGTATGCCTAGAGTTTGCCTTAGTCCAATGATGCAAGCAAAATAAAAGACCTATTTAAACTTTTCATAAATTGATTCAAAATATATGTGCAAATTTCCATGTATGAATACATGAAGACATTTTGCAGGCCTTAAAAAGATATTGGATTGCTTCTATACAGAGAGTATGAAGTGCGTCACAGAATATGAAAATAATGGAAATCAATAAAGTTTAAAAAAATCAATCAATCAATCAATCAATCAATATATATATAAAATCTGAAATTCAGCTTTATCTAGCTTGACATAGGTTAATTTTCATAATTAAATATGGTTTGATCATTTTTTTTGCATTGTTATATGATATATTCTTTATAAAACAAATACTTAAACAATAAACCATAATTAAAAATAAATAAAAAAATGTTGTTAACATAATATCAACATACTGATAGCAGTTAATATTTGTTCCTTGCCTTCACAAAAAAAACTTGGATTATGGGTAAATGATTAAACCATGCAGCATACAGTATAGATATACAGTATATGATATACCGTCTTTTTTATTAGTGATCGTGTTATTTAGTAGTGTAAATTAATTGTCATCCTAAAAGCAAGAAACATTCATATTAACGAATAGCGCACTTGTTGCTATTCTGCACAGGCTGTAATTACATGAAATACTGGAATGAACATTATGCACAAAATGCTATGCTAGTTGATTAAAGGGAGTCTCAGTGGACACATTGTGTAAGTTTAGTTTAATTACTGCAAAAAATAAAAAATAAATAAATAAATTAGAAGTAAACGGAGAGACAAAATAGCTGTGCTTCCCTCATCACTGACTTCAAACAGTGCACTCAGGTCTCTGTGATCAAAGCTTTGAATGAAATACATTTGTCTAGCACTGTCGTCTACAGTGATATAGTGTTATATGCAATTTCAACCAATTTTTAGTGGAGTAATAATTTTGAAAGAGTTTGTAACACTACACCTCCAAAACAAACATAATCCAGACATATTCTGTTTTGTTCTTACACAGAAATACATCATTTGAAAAAGTAGCTTATTAAACATAAAATTTAATAAAGGCAAATAAAAACTTTACAAGCAAGCAAGCAAAAAACAAAACAAAAAAACACTAGGATAATGTCAGTTAACTGGTAGCCATGAAGATGATTAATGCAGAAAAGCTATGAGTAATGGAAAAAAGATTATTTACAGAGCAGCGCTAATCATTAAAACGTCATCCAGGGACCTTGTCACATTAATATTAGCCTAATCTCACTGCCATAAGAAAAACATAGACTGGGATGAACTGCAGTCACTTTTGCTTAAACAAATATTAATATTAATAGACAAGCAAAAAAAAAAAAAAAAGTGAGTAATCTCAAAATATTTGTCACATCAGGCAAAACAAAACAAAAACAACAACTGACCCAACAAAACTGGTATAATCTGCATTCTTTCACTGTGGAATAAGAATCAATACAAAAATACAAAAGAGGTATCACATGACACCATGTTTTACCTGCCGTCTGTGATAAGGGGTTGCTCTCAGTCTCTCTCTCACTTTCGGTCTTGAGGTGTGGCGGTTATGTCCAATCTTCAGCTTCTTGGTTTGTTCAACTGCTTGCCTGCTCCCTTTCTCTCCCCTCTTATAACGGCACACCCCTTCCTCTGGTTCAGCCCCCCCCAGTGTCTGTGGATGGGGCTACACCAAGGCAGGGTATTACGCACAACCTGGACAGCCATACAACCCTTAGTCAAGGCTGACGTACAAGACACTACCAACGTCACCTCTTTCCCCACCCCAGAAGATATGACCTGGGCTAAAAATACACATCATTCAATTTGTAACGGACTAAAAATTCATTGGTTTTATCCAATGGCATATTGACTGTATATGTCCAAACATAGTTCCCATCAATTAACTGATGATCAGAAACGTAGATAACGTGCCTTTAACAAGCTAATCGCTGGCTTGGGAGTGCGAATTGCAAATTAAGCTCGAAATGCAATTTACAGTTGAGCGGTTCATACAGGAAAAAAAAAGGCAAAAAGAAGTCTCAGTGGATGATGAGACTTCACATCCACCGCAAAGGAAAGACAGGATTGTGCCAACAAGAATATGAGGAGAACACTAACAGAAAGAGTTATGAATCATACAGCTATACAAATAACTTGCTTTCATGCAGCATTTAAATAAAATGCATTTTCTTTTCGGTCAAATTGAGCTCATATCTCAGCCTTCAAACAGCTGAGTTCAGTTGGCTCCTTCTCAGTTTATAAGTTGCAATTTCAATTGGAACTGAATAGAATTGGCAACACTCCACATGAAGTTAAAATGAAATTTAAATATGAATGACAGAAAAAGGAATTTACCGAATTGCTATTCTGAGAAAATCAATACAGGTAATGCATTTTGGGGAATGAAGTGTTTTTCCACTCTTGTCCGCAAAGGTTCATTTACTAAATATGATGAAATATATACCAATTGCTATAAGTGACATTTAAAATTCTATCTGTACTGTAGGTCCTATAGAGTAGTATGGGGCTAGCAATGCCAAGGTTGTTTTGATTCACAGAGAATGCATGAACTAATAAAACATATCACTTAAATGCAATGTAAGTTGAATAAAAGCATCTGCCAGATGTGTAATGTAAATATCTATAAACTTTAACATCTTTCAAAACCATCAAAGGTTGTCTAAATTCGATTTCCTTTTATTCAAATTTGAATTGGAATTCAAATCGGTTTGCTAATTTCAAGACCAGAACTAAACCAGCATAAACCAGCTTGGACCTTGTCTTTCCAGCAGGGATGGTGGAGTCTTATACAATGAGCATATATGAGCATGCAAGCAATAAAAAAACAAAAAAACACACAAAGTCCTAAAAAAAAAACCCACCTCAACCAAAGCATTGAGGAAAATTGAAATACTGTAACATTGTGTTCTAGCTGATAATTACTTTGAATGGGCATATATAATTGTAAGTGGTTCAGCATTAGGAAAAGCCTGCTGAAAAATAAACTCATTTGGGTAAGACCAGTAGCTAATATAGGTCTGAATAAGAGCACCCATTAAGTTACAATAGCTTGCTTTGATCTCCCTAATCATGTCATTTCAGAGGCTGTTAAATAACATGGATTAGATGCAAAAATAAACACAGATCCTGATTTGTAATTAATCTCTAAATGAACATAGTGATTATACAAAACATGTGTCACTGAGGAAATGAACCAATAAGCATCACAATTATTAATGTGATGCGTCCAATATTCAGTCTTTGATAACTCATTCCTAAATCATAAACAACCCAAATAACCCATCACCTGAGTCCCTGTCCCTCGCATTTGCATACTGTTCCATGCAGTAAGACTGGAATTAAAGATTATTCAAAAACAAACAGAAATGCGCCATGCCGCTATAAAGGAACTCATCAGATTCTGTGCCACATCATATTACAGCAGTGGATGAATCACGGAACCAGCAGCTGAATGCATTGTGGTGAGATACCACCTCAGAGTAAAATTTAAGTCAGTTCTACGCAAGATATGCAATTATACGAGTGGGCTTATTCACCTCCGTGATGCAGAATGATCGGGGGCCTCTCTGGTCAATGTTGTTTCATTCCCTTCATCATTCCAGGGCAAAGTTTTATTGTTATATGAGGCGATGAAGAGTGCTGAGGCATGTCCATGTCCCTGTGGGAGACACCACTATGTTTTATGGGAGGCCCTTGGCAATAATTTCCAATGATGACTATTAATACTAGACACTTAATTGATTTCAGCAGAATAACCCAAAGATATGATTCAATATAAGAAAATATGTGAAATACAAAGCCTGTGGATGAGAGATCCAATTTTGAAAGAAGTTTCAATCAAAGTTGTATTTATTCACATATTGTACATTTATTTGAATAAATTAAGAAAAAAATGATATAGTTCTGAAAAGACTAGGAAATGTAGCACACAAAAACCAAGCTGGAACATATCTCAGGACACTAATTGGATGAGGAATGAGAAATTCTTTGGTTACTGGTAAGACATAGGTGCTGCTATAGTTAGCAGAGATATAAAATAAGAAGAAAATAATTGGTTGAGTATTTTCTGTAATGTGAGAATGTGGGAGTGACAGCCTGGTCAGACAGTCAAGGGATGTTCTTGGGTTATCATGGAGGTTTCCTTAACTGTGTCTGACATTAGGTAACTTTAGGCAAGCATTAAAGAGCCACCTTGTGTCAGTGGTTTTATCACATTTTAAAAGTTGGAAAGAGTTAGATTCTTATGGGGGATTTTAGTGTTTTTAACCCAAAATTGCTATAAAAAAAGTTTAATCCTACCTTTAGAGTTGGATAATCCTTGATTCTAACAGGGTGTATAGCGGAGACCAGGGCTAGCTGTAAAAACAGCTTCAAAGCTTCTACGTTTTGTCACAATAAACCCAGTATGGGGTAAATTGTCACAGTGGAACCTGCGTAGGCTTTTCGGTTAAATTTAAAAAGCGACAGAGTAAAAGGAAATGAAGTAAATGTCAAGTAATTGTTTAACTAACAAATCGTATAAATGTACAGCATTTAAAACATGTGACAACTTGCCCCAACACGATTTTTAAGTAAACTACTCTGAGTACACCGTTCAAAATCCACCTACCTTCATTATGTAGCTGTGTCTTGTAAATGTATGCATGTTTTTTGTGCTCACTTGTTTGCCCAACAGCTGTGGGAAAAATCTTATTATACCTAATCTTAAACTTGGAAATTCAACAAAATATTATTCATTTGGGTTTTGAGCACATTTGTGTAATGTTTTTTTTTTTTACTCATAACTCTATAGTTATGGAGATTTAGTCGCAGTCGGGCTGTAATGATTAATTATGATGACAGTGTTATTACTGGTCACTTTTGAATCGGTGTTGTGACGTTCTCGTATCTTATTGGTGACCGCGGTCAACTGCAACGGCATTGACCAATAGAAACGCAGAACAGCACCAGACGCGCGAAGATCTAAAAAATACGGAAGTATTATTACGGAAATGCTGTTTACGTTGTACGTTGTTATGTTGCTGTTCAAGTTGTTATAATTATATAAGTGTGTTGAGATAGCACGTTGTTAATACGTTTTTATATTATTATATTAATTATACTTGGATCAAAAAAAACTTTGAGCAACGACACTTTCCGTTTGCTGCAGTTTCATGGGTAAGTTCATTCAGTTTGTTGACAGACAAAAAGCAACAGGAGTGTAAATGCTGAAATAATTTGATTGCGTCTATCTTTCTGCTATTGTAAAGGAAGATGAATATTTATATAATAAGACAAGTAATTTAATCCTGTATTGTTAATAAGAACTGTAACATTTTTACAGCTGAGTTGTCCAGTTAAAGGGCTTTGTGTACATTTTAATATCTGTGTGTTTGTGCGCGCGCGTATGTATGTATGTATGTATGTATGTATATATTGTGTGTATATATATAGAGAGAGATAGGTGTATACACACAATATATCTATCTATGTAGTTATTGTAACTAATTTTATTTTACTCTTGTAATATCAGAACAATGAAATAAAACACTCAATACTTGAGAACGCCAGCGAATCTCGTATTTGATGCAGTGAACAACAAAGGCTGCTAGGATGGATGATATCTACACTTTACAACAGGAATTGGGACGAGGCAGCTATGGAGTGGTCTTCAAGGGACGTGTAACAGAGACTGGCTGTTGGGGCGAGAGGGGCGACACGGTGGCCATTAAACGTCTACCATGTTGTAGCCCAGAGAGTATAGAGCTCTACCTGCAGGAACTGTGGGCTATGAGAATCACAGCACGAAACCACCCCAATGTCATCGCTCTATACAACTGCCTCTTACAGACTGGACCTAGAACACTGCAACCCCTGAAATCAGGGAGGCTTCCTTTGGATTTAGTGGAGAGTGCTCTCAAAGGGAGAGTGGTGGACAAAGACTCAAAAACCCAAGTGAGGAATCCCTCCAGGTCAAAGAGGAGGCTGATGTCCACAGAGGAGGTTCCCAGGCGCTGCTTTGCCCTTTGGTTGGTGATGGAGTACTGTGAAGGAGGGGATTTGAGCCAGTACATCCTATCCAGGCCGCCAGATGCTGAGTGCAACTATGCAGTGCTTCAACAACTCGGCAGTGCCATTGCGTTCCTGCACAGGCATGGAATAGTGCACCGTGATATAAAGCCAGATAATGTTCTTGTCTGTCTTACTAAAACGGGACCGGTCATGAAGGTACAAAAAGGATGCAATTTAAATAAATATTTTTATATCAAATTATTCTTTTACTGCAATGTTACAAGCATGTACATCTAAGAAACAATAATATTGGTTAAAATGCTAATGTCTTATGGAGTCAAACTAAGTGCAATTGTCATGGGACCGAATCCGATTTGCATTTGTACAAGCTTTCATGTTGCTTTTGAAATGGTCTATACTGCTTTTAGCGCCACATTGTCTTTTTTTCTACCCCTTTCCCTTTTTATTGAATTTTTATTAGACCGGAGGCATGTAAAGTGTTCCACTTATAATTTGGCTGTGATAAATAACAAAGCATTACAAAAGTACTTTTGAACTTCTATTTGCATGATAGACAAAGCCTTTGGTATTGCCCTACAACATAAGACACAATTCATGGTTTGAAGTGCCCGGAGAACATTTTATGCGATGGATGATAAGAAAATGTATTTGGATTATTGCTGGTCTGGATTATTCCCCCC